GCCATCATCCGAAAGCGCAGCGTCTTCCACCAGCTGGCCAATCTGCCCACCGACGCGCCCACCATCCAAAAGGCACTGCAGCGGCGGCGGCGGGCGCCCGAGCCCTTGTCCCGCACGGGCTCGCAGGAGGGCACCTCCATGGAGGGTTCTCGGCCCGCTGCTCCCGCGGAGCCTGGCACCCTCAAGACCAGCCTGGTGGCCACCCCAGGTCAGCATGGGTGCTGGTGTGGTGAAGATGGCCGTGGCCTGCAGAGGACACGGCCAGGGGCCGGGACAGAGAGAGGCCCCAGGCTTGGAGATGGATGTGCTGGGGGCTCTGCTGCGTAGACACAGACGGACAGGGTGGAGGGCATTGGGCTTACGGTGGCTGGCAGGGTCAGCCGCCCTTTGGGCCCTGTGGAGTCTCCTCTTTGCCTCCCCTAAGCCCCACCCCACCCCCAGGCATCGACAAGTTGACAGAGAAGTCTCAGGTGTCAGAGGACGGCACCTTGCGGTCCTTGGAGCCGGAACCCCAGCAGGTCTCAGCCGACGGTGGCCCTGCCTCAGGGATGGGTGACAGAGAGGCCTGGAGCGGGGTGAGCTGGCTGCCCCTTTTTCCTCGGGCCAGAGGGGCTAGTGCCCAGCACCTGGATAGCAGAGTGGGGACTGCCTGCTCGCTCTCTCTGTAGGGGGGTGCACTTTCACTGCCCCTCCCCTGGTGGCCAGGCTAAAGCCTTCGGCCTTCCGACTCATCCATCATCCTTATCTGCAGCCGGCCTTGGCCCAGCCCATCCTGTCCAGCCCTGGCCCTAAACCTGTCTCAGGTTGTGTGGGACGGCCGAGCCTAGAGCCCAGGGCAAAGGGTGCTGGGTGTGCCCCCACCCCCAGCTCCCCCTCCCGCCCCAACAGACACACTGCATTGCTCCCCTGGATTCCTGATGGTGGGAGAGACTAGGGATGGGTGCCCCCTGCCCCTGCATGCCCACCCTCCATCTCTCATGCCCTGTCCCTGCCACCCAGGTCCAGGACTCTGGCCAGGCATGGCGGGAGCAGCGGCGGCTGTCCAGTGCATCCACCATCGGGCTGTGGAACCCAACGTCGGAGTGGGTGAGGGGCTGTGCCAGGGTGGTCAGGCTGGGGACAGGCAGATGACACCAACAGGGGCTGGCTTGGGGGTCCCTGGCCTTTGGAAGGGCTGGCTCAGACTCGGAGGGAGATGTGTGTAAACCAGCTGCTGGCACAGCAGAGGGCTCTGTGGTCAGTCCCTCTGGCTGGTGTCCCGGGCTCCCCCTGCTTCACCATCCTCACTGCCTTCTGGGCTCCAGCCGAGGCCCACAGTGAGCATTTGGTAATATTTGACCCTCCTGACTTCCTCCCTCGTTTGAGGGTCCCCACACCCTCGTCCCCTGAAGCGGGCAGGATGCCTTCTGCCTGGGGGCTGGGGTGTGGCCATGGGTGGGGGCTCGCTTGGGCTGTCCCAGAGCTTCAGGGCCCCCTTCCCTCGGCAGGTGGTCTCCTGGAAGTCGAAGCTGCCCCTGCAGACCATCATGAGGCTGCTGCAGGTGCTGGTGCCACAGGTGGAGAAAATCTGCATTGACAAGTGAGGCTGGTGGGATGGGTGTGTGTGGGCGGGGAGGCTGGAGGTAACCAGGGCCCAGGGACCCCACCCCACTGGCCTGCCCCCTCCTCCTGCAGGGGCCTGACGGATGAGTCAGAGATCCTGAGGTTCCTGCAGCACGGGACCCTGGTGGGGCTGCTGCCTGTGCCTCACCCCATCCTCATCCGCAAGTACCAGGCCAACTCTGGCACAGCCATGTGGTTCCGGACCTACATGTGGGGCGTCATCTATCTGAGGTGGGTCCCCCCTCCGCGGGGGCGCTATTCCATCCAGACAGCACCTAGAGGTGGCCTTGCCTGGTGGAGGGTGGGGGGTGGGGGCATAGAGGATGGAAGGACCAGTGACCACCTGCTCCTCCCTCAGGAATGTGGACCCCCCTGTCTGGTATGACACCAACGTGAAGCTCTTTGAGATCCAGCGGGTGTGAAGATGTTTCCCCAGACCCTCCCTCCCCCACTGTTCTTAGCTTTAAACAATCAGGGTCAAGACCCAGGGTCAAGACTCTGGAGGCTAGGGGAAGGGAGGGGGGCGAGTGGGCACTGGTCCTGATGGCCTCCAGGCTGGTCTCGCCCGAGCTCAGCCTCCAGGGCTGCAGGGACCCCCGCTCACTGTGGCTCCCCCTCCAGACCCCTCAGTACCTCCACATCCCAGAGACCATGAGGTGGCTGTGCCCTCAGGGGCTGGACCTCGGACTATCTCTGAGGCATGCCAGCAGGGTAAGGGGACCCTCATGCTTCTAGACCCGACCCTGCTCCAGGTCTGGGGGAGGAAGGAGTATGCCGGGCTGCCCGGAGGTCATCAAAGCCAGACTGTGGGACCCTCTCCATGGATCTTAGGGGTTAGAGTGGGGTTCTCAGGTCTCCTGTGGGATTCTCCATGGACAGTGGGCATAGCTGGTCTCCTCTTACTCGTTCACGGGGACAAGGGGACTGGAGGGGCAGCTGGACCTATCCACTGCATGGCTGACTGGGGAGGGTGACCCAGAAAGCTCCTCCATCCACAGCCTCCCTCCCCCTTCTCCCTGGCTCTCTGGTCTCTGGTCTCCTGCCCACCTGTGTTAGTACAATCTTTGCTCTGTACAATCGGCCTCTTCACACAATAAATCTCTCTCTCTCTCTCTCTCCACTCTGGCTTTCTGTGTTGGGGTTGAGAGGGGGGCAAGCCCCGTGCCATTTTTGTGGGTTGGGAAGCAGAGATTGGCCCCTGGGCCATGGGCATCCAGAGAGAGTCCCCGGCAGCGGTTATGGAGACAGCTTGGGGTCGGGGCACCAGGCAGTATGGGAAGATCCTCCAGGGTCTCACCTTTCTCCGGGGAGGGGGGGCCTGCCCCACCCACCTTGACAGCCTGGGCTCCGCCCTGTTTATCCCAGGCTCTGCGCCCCCCAGGGCCCAGGGTGGGCACTGTCCCAGGGAGAGGCCTTGCTGTTGAGGGGTGATGTGAGACCCCTGCAAGGGCTGCTCCTTCCCTTATTCTCCACCCACCTCACCCCCCATGGATCAGGCAAGGCAAGGCAAGGTATGGCCTGGACCAGCCAGCCCTACCCACCGTTCCAGGCCTGCTGGCTCCATCCCTGGGGACAAACACAACACGGGTGTAATTGATCAAACAAACAGGCTTTATGGCACTGGGAGGGAGCTCTTAAGCCCTGCCTGGCAGCTAATTACCAGCTCGTTAGGAGCCAGGGTTCCTGGGGAGAGGGCAGGGCAGCTGCCAGCCACCAGAAGCAGGCTGTCCCACGCTGCCAGCCCCTCCCAGACGCCCAGCCTCAGCAGCTGTGGGCTCCTGCCAACCTCCTGGGCCCTGGTCTGCTCACGGCCGCACGCTGAGGGCTGTGAAGCGGGTCGCAAGCCCTTGCCAGCCCTGGGCTGATATTGGGGTGTAGGTCTTGTCCTTGAACCTGGGAACCACAGACTGCCCTCCCCCTTTGGGGCCTGGGAGACACCCCAGGTGGTCTCTGTTCCTCCTGGAGTGGGATGTCTGCTCAGACTCTGGGCCCCCTGCCTGGTCACTTGTAGTCCTTCTGGGGCTGGCTCAGGCCTCCAGGTAAACCTCCACCAGCCCTCCCACAGAGTGCATGCGGTAGAAGACCCCCAGAGGCAGGCCAAAGTTGACGATGGTGAACCAAGTCCGGTAGCCATAGAAATCCTTTTCCAGCCCGTTCTCAAACTCGGGGTGCACGCCAAACGCTGGCATCATCCATAGCTGTGGAGGTGGGGAAAGAGGGGGCCACGTGGGGGAAGAGCTCTCCATGGCCTCCCATCCCCTCAGGCCCCACAACATGGCCATCTGGGCCCCTCGTCCAGGGTCTTTTAGGACTAGTTTATCTGCCCCCCAATACCCCTTTACTCCAGCAAAGGAGGCCTTAGCTGCCCCTTCAAGTCATCCCACCTGGCCTCCAGACAGACCAGGAAGCCCCCCAAAACAACAACAGCAACAACAAACAAACTCACTGCCATCGAGGCGATGCCGGCTCACAGCGACCCTACAGGACAGGGTAGAACTGCCCCTGTGGGTTCCCCAGACTGTAAATCTTTATGGGGGTAGAAAGTCTTTCTCCATTGGAGCAGCTCATGGCTTTGAACTGCTGACCTTATGATTAGCAACCACGAGGCCACCAGCTCCTTCAAGAGTCTCACTACCATCAAATCGTCAATGGTGACTCAAAGCGATCCTACAGAACAAGGTCGAACTGACTGCAACCCTGTCAGAGTAGGAAGCCTGGTCTGCCTCCTGAGGAGCGGCTCGTGGTTTCAAACTGCTGACCTTGCGGTTAGCAGCCAAGGTGTGATCACCACTCCACCTGCCACCCAACTGGTGTCTGGCAAGGATGCCCGATGTGTGGCTGCCCCGCCCTGCCAGCCACTCTGCTCTTCTCTCTGCCTAGTCATCCCGTCCCCCCCACTTCCTGTCCTAATTCTCCCGCTCCCCAAGGCCTCAGATCAAGCCTGCAGGAAGTCTCACTTCCTCTCTGGGTGCCTACTGCTCTCAAGGACAATTTACTAGGGCTTCTGTGCTGGACCAGGGCCTCCACCCTCTGGAGGGGACGGTGTTCCCATGGCAGCCACTTCCCACATGGGCTGCTGGGCAGTGTGGGCGAGGGGTGAGGGTGGCAGGGGCAACTCTGAGTTCTCCGCCTAACACTGCCTGTTACAGGCCATGGGCAGATCAAACCAACTGTGCCTCAGCTGCCCTAGCTGTGAAATGGGCACAGCAACACGGGCCAGGTGACTGTGGCCATCCCATGAGGGGCTGAGGTCATGCATAGAGCGGGCTCAGGGGGACCTGGGACTTAGCAGCTTCCAGGGGCTGAGCACATCTCTTCAGGATTCCCCCTCTACCCCCACACCCATCCCCAGCGATTCTGTAGAACATCGGGGATATTCTTTAACTGAATTCAGAGGGCAATCTGGTAATTCTCTAACTGGTCTCCAAGTGCCTCCCCAGCTAGACAGTACGCTCCCTGAAGGTAGGGCTCTGACGGGGTCCCCAAGAGCACCCAGGGATGTGCTTGCCACCTCACTCACACCAGGACCCCTGCAAGGAGCGGGGAGCTTGCCCTCTGCTCTCCTGCAGTGTCAAGTGGGGCGGAGAGAAGCATGCGTCCCCCACCACGGGAAAATAAGCCAGGCGCCCTGAGGGCCGCCAAGGTTCAATGCGTGCACCTGGATCCATCCCTTCCTGCAGGAGGATTTCGGGGGCCCCACACCCAACGCAGCCACTCACCACGATGTTGCATAGGATGAGGAAGAGGGCGATCTCCTTCAGCACGATCTGCTTCCAGTTGAGGCGGCTGTAGGAGTGGAAGTAGGCCCTCCGCAGGTCCTGGCTCAGGTCGAGCAGCGAGCTCCTGCGGGCCGGCTCGGCCTCGCAGAGCAGCCGGCGGTGCAGCCCCCCGATGATGAAGAGGTTCTGCGCGATGTGCTGCAGGACGAGCAGCAGCGAGTAGGCCAGGATGAGGCGGCTGAGCGGCCGGCGCGGGTGGGTGGCCACGGTGGCCACGAGGGAGAAGTAGGCGATGCCCATCGGGCCCAGCGCCGCCCCCATCAGCAGCACCACGTCCAGGCTGCGCGTGGGGTTCTTGAGCACGTCCAGCTCCCGCTCCTCCAGCAGGTAGACGGCCGCGCCCGCCAGGCTGGCCAGCGTCATGGCGGGCAGCACCGCCACGTAGAAGGCATAGTAGAGCGTGAAGTAGCGGCGCGCGATGTCCGGGCCGTTTGCCTGGATCTGGAAGAGCACAAAGATGCAAATGCCGGCCACCAGCGCCAGCAGGCCGAGCAGAGGCCCGAGGACCCCGGACAGGCGGAAGGGCGGGGTGCTGGGCGGGGGCCTCGCGGGGGCGGCCAGGTGGCGGCCCACGTTCTTCCACATGACGAAGAGCATGGTGCAGCAGAGGAGGCAGTACTCGGTGTTGAAGGGGTACAGCATGAGGCTGCCCTTCTGGAACACCAGGCAGGCCGTGTTGTTGATGCAGACGCAGAAGCTGCTCAAGTTGCCTGGGAGACAGCGGGTGGGAGGGGACAGAGGTTCAGGTGGGCAGCAGCGCGAGGGAGGGAGGGAGGGAGGCCCCTCCAGACGCAGCCCCGCCTCCCCACCCGCGTGGACCCGGAGATCAAACACCAAACTAGCTCCAGGGGAGTCGATTCCAACTGGGGCGGCCCTCCAGGTGAGAGCCTGTACCTTTTCCAGAGCACAAAGCCTGGCCTTTCTCTCCGGAGCATCTGGTGGCTTCAAACTGCTGACCTGGGGGCGTTAGCAACCCAACGCATACCCCCACAAGCTACCAGGGCTCCAGGACATAAACTGCAAGTCGCAGGAGGGAAGCGTGGAAAACCCGGTGTCCTTGGCAAAACAAAGTGGTCTGGCTGCTGCTCCTCCTGAACCCCTTGATCAGTCTCAGCAACGCTGGATGTGGGGCACCGGGGTGTCACCGGACTCCCCTCCCCACAATGCTTACTTAACAGGAATCTGAGCAAGACTCTCCCCTGAACTCCTCGGTTGGTAGGAAAGCGGGGAGAGAAAAACCAGCCCCCCACCACCAAGAGGGAGCAGCAAACGGGGCAAGCCTCAAGGGCCTGAGAAAAAGTGGGCGAGGGGCCTACTTTTAGATGAGGGGCTCAGTGGTTCAAAGCACCCAGCTGCTAACCAGAGGTCAGCAGGTTCAAAACCACCAGCCTCTCTGAAGGGACGAGATGGGGCTCCCTGTTTCATAAAGCTGATGGATGGCCTTGGAAAGTCTGGGGGGCAGTTCTGCTCTGTCCTAAAGTCGATGAAATTGTGGTGATTTTTGACAGCCTTCAGCACCAGAGACCCCAAAGACCTCACTACCAAATGCCTGGTGGCAGGCTTTGATTGGCTCCCGGCTTCCACAAGCCATCTGTTTTTTTAAAAAAAGAAAATCCACCAGCTAGTTGGAGGGATGGACTGTAGATTGCTAGAGATGCTGTGGGTGATGCCAAAGGAATTTCGTTAAAAATGATCACAGCCTTGTGGTAACGTCGGGAAAGATATTTATTTGAAAGAGACGTACAAAGTGAAATAAAAATAGATGGATATGTGACTATTTTGAGGTGAAATCTCATGATTTCACTCCCTTTCTGTAAGTCCTTCAGCAAGAGCCGTGAAAACAAGGTGGGAGGATGTCAGAGATCGTGACCTGGACCTGATGCGGCATCCTCTTCTGAATGGGGCTTGGCGTACATTCAAATGAGTGTCTCCAACATCTGACTCGTCACAATCCATGTTTATGAGTACGCCGTTTCCAATTCTGGCATTTTTTTATGACTAGAAAGCCTATATAATTTGATATTTTAAAAATGAATAATAGAAAGCCAATGGTGTCGCAGTGTCTCCCGTCACTGCACAGGGTCTCTGGGAACTGTTGCCAGGGTGTTGAGAATGCACACAGCTCATGGCGTGGCCTGCCTGATGCAGTGGGTATGGGGATGCAGGAGCCTGCTGGAAAGGCTTGGTGGTACACAGGTCACCAGGGTGTTGCCACCTGGCTGAGGGGGGGTGAGATGTGTGTGTACACACACAGAGAGCCGTATCTCCATGCCTGTTTATGTGGCGCAGCATCTACGGGGTGGACTGTGAGGACATGAGAGGGATTGGGCATCTAGGGAATTGTTTGCTTCGCTGAGTCTGGGGTCTCAGATGCTATCCTTCTCAGCCCTTGAGGACAATGCCAATGCTACAGTGAGTGCCTGCCTCAAAGGCTAATCAAGCAGTCCTAGAAGCGGGGCAAGCAGGGCATGGGGCAGGCCCAGACTGGGGGCGGGAGGAGGGTGCCCCTTGGTAAACAGGATACAGTGTGTGGTTAATAGTGGTCCAATCTCGGGAGTTTGCCCGACCGACTCTATGAGTCAGAATCAATTCGATGGCAGTGAATGATTTCTTTGATTGACTCATGGAAGATCTGAGGGAATGTTGTGTGTGTGTATGTGTGTGTGTGTGTGTGTGTGTGTACAAGTGAGTTCTGGGGTGGGTGGGGATGGTCCCGGCCTCCTCTCCGTACCTGAGGACTTCTCCAGGTGGGTATCGAGCTCAGCTCTGATCTCATGGTGCATGGAGTCGTTGGTGATAGCCAGAATCCACAGCAGCAGGTCTGTGGCCAGGGTCAGCATCAGGCCACACCTGGGGGAGGTGCCACACTCAGCCCCACAGCCTACCTGGCTGTCCAGTGCCCGGGCCCACCACCAGCTGCTAGTACTGGACCACTCACTCTTCCTAAAGCCAGACGCCACACGGAGGGCACTCGGACTACGGGAGACGTGGGTCCTGAATTCTACTCTCAGACTGACCTGTCTCCCTAGCCACTCTGTCCAGGGAGCCTGTGGGGACTGGTACAGGGTGGGGGCAGAGATAGGGAGCCCCAGAAGGTTCTGGAAGAAGAGAAATACCCCATCGTACCTCGTGAGGTTCGTCTGGAACTGCATACAGTCCTTGCAGTGTTTCCAGAGCACCCATGTCTGAAAGAGAGGCAGCCTTGAGCCTAGGGCCTGGGGGGACCAGAGCGGGCTGTGGGCTCCCACTGCTTGGGCGCATTCCCAATAGATGAGCTGGTGAGGAGGCCTGGGCTGCCCTTTGGGCTCTGCCCTTTCCTTGCTGTGTGGTCTGGGGCCAGTAAGCGGATATCTCTGAACCTCAGTCTCCGTACAACGCTTGTAAAAGGTGCCCAAATGACTACCATGCGGGGACTGCCCATTTGTTGGGAACAGAGCGAGAGGACAGCAGTGGGGCCCCTCGGCCAGCGCCGGGCACACAGCCAGCACCTCGGAGAGGTGGAGGGAGCCTTCATTCTAAGTAGATGTGTATGCCGTGACATGTATATGCCCTATTTACAGGTGTCTGCTCTTTGGGGACAGGGTGTGTGTGGGTGCAGCTGCAGGGACAGGTGTGTGTGTGCATATGGAATGTGGCACTTGCGCGGTCTGGTGGTGTGGTGTGCACACACTGGGTCCTGGCGGCGGAATCCCTGGGGCTGCGTCTCTGTACAGGGGGTATGTGTGGCCAGGGAGGGTGTGTGCCCTGGGGTATGACAGGGAGGATGGGGACCGGCCAGGCCTGCTACCTGCACGCTCACGAACATGATCTGGATGATGGGGAAGGCGAGCTCCAGGTGGGACTTGCAGTCGGCGTGGCTCACGGCGTTGCCCACGCGGAAGACATTGAGGCAGATGGTGCAGCTGCCGAACAGCACCAGGGAACCTGGCAGGGCCGGGCGGGTGTTGGCACGTCCCCAAGAACTGCCTCGCCCTCCCCTTCTGCCCCGCTCTGCCAGCGCCCCAACACTCACCCCGCACCCAGATGGGTCCGGCCTGAGGGTCTTGGTGGAGCACGGCTCGTGACTTGCGGGTGGTGGTGATCTCGTAGTAGAGGAGCCACAGGAGGGAGAGGACCTTGAGCGTGGCCAGCAGGAGCCACACGTCGGTCAGCGTGACAGCCATGCCGTTGAAGAGCATGCCGCAGATGAAGGCGCTGCCCAGGAAGACCACATTAAGGGCCAGCAGCCCCGAGAAGAGCTGCCCTGCCTTCTTGGTCTTCGTGTGCCTCCGTAGCACAGCCGAGAAATAATACATCAGCCACGACTTCTGCTGGCCCCGGCTGGGGCGCCCCGGGTTCTCAGCTGCTCTGTCCACGCCATTCTCCTTGGCTGGGGCTGCTGCGGGCTGGGGTGCTTCCGGAGAGGATCCTATCGGGGCCTGAGCAGGGACTGTGCAAGGAGAGGAGGGCGCCTGTGTTGCTGGCTAAGCTTTGCAGGGTTTTTTCCATTCCTGCCCCTGGCTGGCTGTGTGTTCTTGGGTGAGCTATGCAACCTCTCTGGTCGGGACACTGGGAATAATGGTAACTGCCCTTCCCCCTCTACCTTATAAGATCAACAGAGAATCAAACACAAACCCAGGCCAAACTCACTGCCATCCAGCCCATTCCGACTCATGGCTGCCCTGTAGGACAGGGGAGAGCTGTCCCCCGGGTTTCTGAGCCCTGTAGTCTCTCTCTGCTATCAAGTAAATGCCGACTCACAGGGACCCTATGAGGATAAAACTACCCATGGGGGTCTCTGAGCTTCCGAGACTAGAACTCGTTACTGGAGTAGAAAGCCTCCTCTTTCTCCCTCAGAGGAGGCCTGGTGGTGTAGTGGTTGGTGACACAGTAACCTGCTAATGGCAAGGTCAGCAGTTCGAAACCACCAGCTGCTCCGTGGGAGAAAACAGCTTTCTACTCCTGTGGAGTGAGCGTCTCGGAACCCCACAGAGGCGTTTCTACCCTGCCCTATAGCATCAATATGAGTCGGCAGTGACTTGATGGCAGTGGGTTTGTGAGTTTGTTTTTCCCCCCTTCCTCAGAGCTGCTGGTGGATTTGAACAGTTGACCTTGCCGAATGTGTAGCACAGCCCTCTGTGCCACCAGGGGCTCCTAACAGAGGAGGAGTTGGCAACCTCAATTGGTTCCCAAAGGACCCGTGGCGGCCCAGTGGGCTAAGCGTGGGGCTGCTCATCAGAAAGGCATTGGCGCAAACTCACCAGCTGCCCCAGGGGAGGCAGTCTGCTCTCGTAAGGACCGACAGCTGTTGGCACCCCTAGGGGCAGTTCTCGGTCCCTGACAGAGAGGCCCATGGGAACCCTGGGAGCCGTGGGCAAACTTTGTTTCACCTGGCTTGAGGACCAGCCCTTCCTCCTGAGCTGGGCCACCCCCTCTCACCGCTACTCGTCAGCCTGTTGCTAAGGGGAGCCTAGGAATGGCAGTCAAGGGAGCTGGGGTGGGGGTGGGAGCACCCGCAGAGTGCCAGGACACCAGGCAGGTCCCTGGCTTTGACTTCTCAGCACCCAAAGGCCACTTGTATCCTCCTGTTTTCTGGGACCAGGGAAGGCAAAAATGACTGTGTCCCCACCCGCTTACCCCCGACCCAGTGGTGTAGTGGTTACATGTTGGGCTGCTAACCGCAAGGCCAGCAGTTTGAAACCAACTGCTCTGTAGCAGAAAGACTAGGCTTTCCGCTCCCGTAAAGACGACAGTCTTGGAAACCCACAGGAGCAGCGTTACCCTGTCCTAGAGGGTCAGAATCAGCTAAGTCAGAATCAACTCGGCCATGGGTTTGTTTTTTGAACTCTAGCCCGGCAACTTCCTCACGGACCCAGATCATGGACCACGCAATCCCTGCAGCCCTGGTTCAGGGTATCCTCCTGGCCAGGAGGCTTCTCATGAGCCGGCCTGGAGCCTGCCTCCTTTGAAACCCCATGCTGTCCCTGCCTTGCTCTAACTCCCCCATCCCTGGACTCTGGACTCGGGCTCCTAAGTGTTCTCCAGGCGGGAGAAAGCCTGCTTCCTCCCCTCCCCAGAACCCCAGAGCTGAATCCCTGCTGGAGTTCGCTCACCCCTCCACCATCCTAACCCAGGGCACCTTCCTCTCTCACCTACTTCCCCTGACCTTTACACTTCTCTACAGAATGCCTGCAAAGACAACCAGCTGCCCACAGTATAAAGTCCAGACCGCCCAGCACGGCCCCCACGGCCTTCCAAGTGAAACAGGGCAGTGTACGGAAAGAGCTTAATGCAGGGCCTGCCCAGGGGACGTGCTCACGGCATTGGGGACCTACTGGCGCTTCCTGATGGGCCTTGACTCACCTCTCCAGCACTGTCTTCTGACCCTGCCCCACCCACAGAGCAGGCCGTCCTGCTGCAGGAACCCCGATTCCCCTGTCTCATCTATGCACACACACCCTGCCTACAACACCTGTTCCCCTGCCCCCTTGGGCAACTCCACCTTGCCCTTCAGGGCACAGCAGAGACCTCCGCTCCTCCAGGTGGTCTGCCCACTCACACCCTCCCCAGCCAGCGGGGTAAGGGGTCCCCTTGCTCCGTGGAACCTCAGGTCCTTCTAATGTTTACATAATGTGTTTTCTTCTGATTGTTGAGAACATACAGCCATCCAACAGTCTCCCCACGGACAAGTCCGTTCTCTGAGCTGTGTGACCCGTCTTGTCCTCCTTTTCAGCGCTGTTCTTCCCGACTCACAGAAGCTCACTGTGCGCCAAGGTTCCTGCCTACTCCTGTGAGCCGCTGCTGTGCGTTTGGTCAAGAGGCCCGAAAAGAGCACAGGGCCCAAGGCAGACGCACTGATCTCAGGCGGGAAACTACTGCTGGGTTTTAAGAAGACTTCAGGGGCTATGTTTGCTTGAAAGTTTAGAAATGGTCACAGGACAATAGTTTCAGGGGCTCATTCCGCCTCCTTGGCTCCAGAAAGTCTAGGTTCTACGAGAAGTTAACATTATACCCTGCCTCTTTCTCCTTTTGATCAGGATCTTTCTATGGAGTCGTTGATCAAAATGTTCATTAATAGTAAGTCGGCACCATCCAATTCTCTGGTCTGGTGGCAGGGGAGGCAGTTGGTTGTTCATGGATATCTCATTTATTATCTTGCCATGATCCGTCCCTGCTCCATCGTCCCCCTTGGACTCAGCTTTGGTGGCCTCTGATTCTCCCTGAGATGGCCGTCAGAAGGCCCCCACCCACACCACTACACTTGGCTCTGAAATATAACCTCTCCCTATGCTGCCTGCCCCTTCTTTGTACCTTCTGAGGTTCTCTTCTGAAACAAGTCAAATATTAAAAGCATTCAAAATTACTTTCTCCCCCTTCTCCAGCCTTGATCAAGCTCTGCCCAGCATGCCCATCTCATCACCCCCCAGGGAACTGCCTCCCATGTCCAGCCAGAGGGTTCTCCTGTCTCCTGCCTCCCTGCCCTCACACCGAGAGCTGGCTTTCCCTCTGCCTCATCCAACATCTCCCCACCAAGGGCTCTTGCTCGCCCTCACCACCCTCCTGGGAAGCACACACTCCCTTCTTCTGAGAGCCGATGTGCACTGTCTGACAAGGGTCCCTGGTCTCCTTGCAGGCAGAGACCAGGTCTTGCTTAACTCAGAACCCTGAGGCCAGCAGCATATAAGCAGGGCACTCAGGCGCTTTCTGGGGAACTTTCAGCACCACGCCCATGGACAGAGGCCTGTCTGTGGGACCTTTCCTTCCCTCCTGGCTGGGTGGAGAAGACATTCCAAAACAGCTTCCAGTTTTTTTCCCAGGCTCTCCCACCCAGGTTGAGCAAGCAGGAGGCTTTCTCCCAAGAGGACTGCTCCACTTTGCCTTCTCCTAAATCTTCTCCCTCCCTCTCTTCCTCGCTCCTCCCTCCCTGAGAGGTGGGATGGCCTCATGATTAAGCGCTGATGGCCAGTGTTCTCAACAGAGAACCTATAAGAAGGGGTAGACCTGCCCCACAGGGCATCCCCACCAGCTGTTGTGTTTAGGAAGCAGACACGGCCTCATCTTTCTTCCCTGGGGAGGCCGGGGATGTGTGTGTGTGTGGGGGGGCGGGGGAGGCAGTGCTGTCCAATTCTTCCACTTCCCACTTTCATGGTCCTGGACAAGCCACTTAAGACACCCCGAGCCTGTTTCTTCATTTATAAAATGGGTTTCATAAGTGTACGGAGAACACTTATGACAATGCCTAGCCCCTAGTAGTAGCTCAATAAATTTCTCTCGGATGGCTTAATGGGTATTCCTGACCTCATAGGGATTTTGTGGGAATTAAATGGGTCCAGGTGTGTAACTACGTGTAGAACAGGACCCGACCCACCCAAACGCTCACAGTTACCTGTGGGCTACTCTGCAGAGGCGGCCAGGGGCAGAACTGTTGGTGAATTCCGGGGCAGGTTTTGCACACCCAGAGGGGACATTCCTGATCCTCTCTCTCCAGGGTCCAGAACCTCCCCTCCCTAAGTGGTGAATTCGATCCGAGGTGGGGATCACCGGGTCACTGGAGTGTCAGGAGGGGATGAGGGCACCTGGAGTTGACAAGGAGTCTGTACCCCAACCCCCTGCAAACCCCTGGGAAGGGCACCAGCCCTAAGGAAGCTTGGGACGCCAAACTGGTCTGCAGGTCGCTGTGCGGGCTGTTGGGGCGCTGCGCGGGGCCAGCTCCTTCCCGTTTCTGGGGAGCCCCCAGGAGGTGCAGGCTCTGGACAGTCTCTGGCTGCCAGAGCGCCCCAACCAGGATTCAGGGCGCCCCAGCCCAGGCCCCTCCTCTCAGTATCAGTGGTATTTGTCCCTGGCCTGGCAGCCCCTTCCGGGCCTGTGTGTCCACGAGCGCTGCTGACCTCTGGGGGCCCCCGGTCTTCGGAAAGGACGTAGGGGCAGCCTGGGGTGCGGAGGGAGAGGTCAGTGCTGGGATCTTGGGACTCTTGGCCTTCTTTCTGCGCAACCCCCCGCCCCGCCCCCCTATCCCCAGCCATGTCTCCCTCTCACCCTAATCCTGATGGGGGTGTGGGGGTGTGGGGGGTCGTGCCTGGAATCTTCCCTCTGGGGTCCCGGACGCTCCCGGCCCCAGGAGCGGCCCCGCAGCCTTACCTGGGCCCTCAGCAGACATCGCCGCCCGCTACCCTCTGGCTTCCGAGCCCCGCGCGTCCGTCCAGGTGAGGCCCCGCGCCCCAACCGATGCCCCGACGGCCTCCTCCCCCCGCAGGACTGCGCAGCCGCCGCTGGCCCTCGGCCCATCGATTTTCCTGTTGACTTTGGGAATCTCATCAATCCCTCGTTAATTACCCCGCCGGGGGCTCCAGTCCAGAGGCGCAGCCAATAGTTCCGGTGGCTGGACGGGTGGGGCGGGGGCCGGAGGCGGAGCCTGTGTGGAGCCCAGGGTCAGGGGTCAATGGGGCGGGCCTCGTGCTGGTGCCTGTCCTCGGGCTGGAGTGGGGGACAGTGTCCTTTCGCTGCCAGCGAAGGACCTCCCTTTGTTTTTTTTGGACCTCCCTTTGCTCTGGCGTCCCTCCTAGGACTGGACAGCCCCTGAGGCCTGGGGTGGGTCGCTTTTCCAGCACCCACCTAGCACCTGAGTAGGACTACAAGCTGAAAGGTCGGTAGTTCACATCCACCCAGACACCCTGGGCAGGCTGGCCTGGTGATGTACTTCAGGAAGGTTCCAGCCTAGCAGACCCTGGGAATGAAGCTCTACCTGCCCCGTCGGGGACAAGGGGGCTGGGGTAGGGGCAAGTCTCAGAGTGGTTTCCAGGGCGACAGGCCAGGAACCCAGTACCAGCCCGGGGACAACAGTGAAGGCCTCTTCTTCAGAGAGCCCCCAGCACTTTCCCCCCCAAGTCAGACTCCAGCGTGGGGCCCAGACACTTAGGTAGAACCATAGAACCGCATGGTGAGCAGGCAAGAGGCTGGATAGAGCTGAAGGCTGCCGGCCTGAGAATTCTCACCAACGCCCCCCTTCTTCTACTGCGGGCTCGGGGAGCTGCTGCCCCTACTGCCTTCCAATGCTGCCTTCTCCCACCAGTTCCCACCCCAGCCTGTCCAGCTCCCCTGCCTTGGGCTGCCCACCAGCCTCCTCCTCTACCTGAAGTGCCACACTCTCGTCCTCTCTCGGAACCTCCCTCCTGCCACCTTCCGCTCAGCGTCTCTGCAGCATAGAAGACAGATGAGGGGTTTATAGGGGAGCCCAGGGGTGTCCCCCCACATATACACACACCTCTGCTGCAGCAGCTCCATGGCTCTGCCAGAGTCCTGGGTCCTACAAGTCTTTGTTTGAGGGAGAAGAGTGTGACAATGGTGATTTACAATGGTATCGCTGTGTGACCTTCGAAGAGTCACTTCCCCTCTGTCATCCTTTCTACAATGTGCTGGCTGGGCTTCCTTATCTTGTGCGTGTCAGGGAACACGTCTAAGAGAGAGAGGAGCTAGTGTGCGGCTGTTAGGCTCGGGATAAGGGGAAGAGGAAGTTGGAAGCCTGGCCTGGTCTCTCCTAGTCTCTCCTGGTCTCTCCTCCTAAGCGCGGTCTGTAATCAGACGTGGCTCACTCACTGCAAATCTGCCCTTCCAGCTCAGTCTCCCAAGATCCTCTCCCACGGCAGGGCCCACTGAGATAAGAAGTGGGAACAAGGGGAGGCGAATCACCAGTTTATTGTTCCCCAACATCAGGCAGTGGCCTGGCTTGACCACAGCTCTGGGGTTGGGAGTGGCCCCTGAGCTGGGCTTCCGGCTCTTGCCTGGTCCCAGCAAGGGTCCCCTCTGTGGTGGTTGCCTGATGCCCCAGGGCTCTTCTGAGGTGGGCATGTCCTGATGATGATTTTAAAATGCATCTTGGAAAGGTAGCTTGTGTGCATGTTCCACTGGGGAGCAAGCAGGGCATGGGTGGCAGCGTGGGACGTCTGTGGCCTGGGTTTCATCACAGGAGGGGTTCCGGGTGTGGCAGGGAGGGTGCCTGCTGGCTCAGGACAGCACATAGACCTCCAGCAGGCTGGAGACAGCATGCATACGGTAGAAGATGCCGAAGGGCAGGCAGATATTGACAATGGCCGCCCAGAGTCCGTAGCCGTAGAAGTCCACTTCCAACGTGTTGCTGAAGTGAGGGCGGGCGCCGAAGGCAGGTATGATCCACAGCTGTGTGGGGAGACGGGGCATCAGGGACAGGCTGCTGGTGCCCTGGGGTCATTCCTGTGGGTTTTCTATGTGGGCCTGCTGGTGCCTGAGTACGGTGAGCTGGGGGTTACTGGGCGGGAGGGGGGATTCAATGTCTGGGACAGGGCCTAACACTCTCTAAGGAGCTTGGGAAGTTGTGCCCCAAGGAGCTTGCTCATCCCTGTCCCGGGCTCTTCCATCCTTTGAGCATGGCCCACTCGTGGGGTTTAGTGGGGAGGGGGAGGAGAGGGTTTCAGCCCGGAAGGAAGCAAGGATGGATGTGGATGACTGGGCCTGCAGCTCTGTCCCAGAGAGAGGGGCACGACCAGCAGGGACGGCCCAGAGGAGCCGGTTGTGGGCCCGGCCAGATGGCTCTCATTTCTCACTGCCCCGCAACCTTCCATGCACTCTGCCCCTCCCCATTGGGCCAGGCGGGTGCTGCAGCTGGATCATCAGGCCTCATCTTGGGGGCAGAAGGCAAACTGTGTGCCCTTGAGCAACCTCACTACCCTCTCCAAAACGAAGGGCCTGGATTCTCCCGGAGGCGCCCCAGAACCCTGGAGCAAAAAACGCCTCCCGAAAGACGAGGTTTCAAACCTGCCTGCTTCTGTTGATTGGGTCCCACGAGTGACTACTCTTATTTTTCAGTTTTTAATTAGGGACGCCGACTTTGTTGGGAGGCCCCTCTCAGGAGCGCTGCTGGCACATTTTCTCGGGACGCTCAGGGATGTCTTGACTCTGGGCACCTTGTTCGAGGCTGGGGCATGCTCCATCAGGGTGCTTCAATTCTAGGGGGTCTACGTCTAAAAACCAAACCAAACTCACGGCCAGCCCCAGTGAATGTCGGCTCATAGCAACCCTAGGGGAGGGTCTAAACGTGGCTGGTTTTACACAGGACCACTGCCACTTTCTAGTTCATAGAGACCTGGTGCCCTGGGGTCATTCCTGTGGGCTTTCTATGTGGGCCTGCTGGTGCCTGAGTACGGTGAGCTGGGGGTTACTGGGCGGGAGGGGGGAGTCAATGTCTGGGACAGGGCCTAACACTCTCTAAGGAGCTTGGGAAGCTGTGCCCCACGGAGCTTGCTCATCCCTGGCCCTTGCTCATCCCTGGCCCGGGCTCTTCCATCCTTTGAGCATGGCCCACTCGTGGGGTTTAGTGGGGAGGGGGAGGAGAGGGTTTCAGGGCAGAGCAAACCGCCCCTTTGGGTGCCCCGGGCTGTGTGTCTTCACGGGAGCAGAGAGCCTCGCACCTTTCTCCCAAGTAGCTGCGGGAGCAGTGAGTAACGAGGCTGGGGTGTGCTCCGTAGCCGCCCTGTACTGGGAGCAACCAAAACAGAGTCTGCTGTGCACCCAAGCTCCCTTCTACGAGAGGGGTCCAGAGTCCTTGGGGAGACCGGATGGAAAGAGGATGTCGTGCCCCTACCCCCAACCTCGTGCACAGAGCTGGATTGCCATTAGAAGCATGCTCTGGACTTGGACTGTGCCCACTGTGCCCACTGAGTCCATGTTCTTGTCTTAGGGGCCTTCCTGGGAGCAGGGGAGGGGGGAGGGGTGGACTACCTACACGGGGCCTTCCTCTATTGGGATGTAGCTGCCCCCAGGTCTGCTTTGCTATTGGGGCCCTTCACTAAGAGCGGGTGTTTGCCTCGGGGAGGGTGTTGGGCTGCCAGCCTTCTGGGGCTCACACGTACACCGGGCCCTGTTACTTCCTGAGGCTGCTCCGATTATACTGAGAAGCAGGCAGGTCACAAGTTCCCAATAGCAGTCACACCTCCCAAGGGGCAGGAGGGAGGGGGGATGCAGAGGGAGCCCTTGTCCTCCACATCAGCTCTCCCAGCTCCCCCCACTTCTGCTGAGGCCCTCCCTCCCCATAGCATTTCTTGGGACACCCCCACCACCACCACCCAGATGCTACCTAGATACCACATGCTGGGATTTCATTCCCTTTGTGGAGGCTGGGGGCTGGTGCCTGGCCCTCTGTGAACCTGCTCCCCCTCCCCAGAGAACCGTAAGGCTCCCCAGCAGGCTGGGGGTCAGGCCAAGAAGCCCCAACAGCCAGGCCTCAAAGAATGGCCAACCTCGGCCTTCCTGCTGTCCCCCCGCCCCCCTGCCCACCACCCCCTACTCACGATGACATTACAGAGCAGGAGGAACAAAGCAATGTCCTTCAGGCACCGGCGCCTCCAGTGGCCCTGGGGAGCCAGGATGATGGCCTCTGATTCCTGAGGGCCGGTGGGACTGGGGCCCACCACTCTGGGAGTGGTCGGACAGGCGGGCAAGGCGTCCAGGTGGGTGAAGGCCAGGCCGTGGCAGGGCCCCCCCTGAGGCTCGTCCATGGGCGGCCCGCGGTGGAGGCTCTCAATGATGAACACGTTCTGGAAGGTGTGCTGAGCGATGAGGAGCAGGGCGTGAGCCAGGTTGAGGGCCCCCAGCAGGTCCTTGGGCAGACCCACCACCACAGCCACAATGGAGTAATAGGAGATGGCATACTGGCCCAGGGCGGCCCCCATCAGCAGGGCCGCGTCGAGCGTGCGCGTGGGGTTCTTGTGCTGGTCCATGGTCCGGCGGTCTAAGCGGTTGATGACCAGGCCGCTTAGGCTGACCAGGGTCATGAGTCCCAGACAGATGATGTTAAAGCTGTAGTACATAACCAGGGCCTGCTGGATCTGGCTGCCCTCGCCGCTCACCTGGACCTCGTAGATGATGAAGACAGCCAGCCCCACCATGAAGAGAAACAGGCCCAGGACGGGGCCCAGGAAAAACGTCTCCCGGAAGAGGCTGACCCGGAAGGGCATGTGGCTGTGGCTGTAGGAGGGCGCCAGCAGCCGGCCCACGTTCTTCCACATGATGTAGAGCATGGTGGAGGCGAAGAGGCTGTACTCGATGTTGAAGGGGTACAGGTAGAAGTAGCCCTGCTGGAAGACCTGGCAGATGACCGTGTTGCAGGGGCAGGGGTCTCCTTCAGCCTGGCTGGCTGAACGGTCTGTCGGGGACAGAGGGACACACACTGAACTGTCCTCCCACCTACCTGAAGGGCCTCCTTTCGCTAGACTACAACCTTCCTAAGAACAGCTCAGCGGGGGTGGGGTGGGGGGGTGGGGGTGGCCGTGGGTCACAGCACCCCAAACGCCAAACCTCCCTCCTGTCCAGTGGATGCTGACTCAGAATGGTCTTGCAAAGTAAAACTGCCCCTGTGTGTTTCTGAGGTTGTAACTCTTTATAGGCACAGGAAGCCTCACCTTTCCCCCCAGGGGCTGCTGCTGGTATCGAACTGTCAACCTTGTGCTTAGCAGCCCAACATGTAAACCCACTGTGCCATCAGGGCGCTAAGTTGGCTCTCTCACTGCTGTCGAGTTGGTTCTGACTCATAGCGACCCTACAAGAACAGGGTAGCCCTGCCCCTGTGGGTTTCTAAGGCTGGAAATCTTCCTGGGAGCAGACAGCCTCATCTTTCTCTGGCAGAGCAGCTGCTAGGTTCAAACTGCTGCCCCTGTGGCTAACAGCTCAGTGTGTAGTCCACTACACCACCAAGGCTCCTCTCCCATATTTACTAGTGTCCCCCACGTACCCAGCACCTGTCTGGCACCCTCATTCACTCCTGCTATGTGCCAGAGGTGGTGGGGACAATAGCCAATGGACAATAGTCGGTGTCCACTAAAAAAAAAAAAAGCTGACCCACAGAAGTATGCACAGGCGCGTGTTCTCTCTCTCTCTCTCTCTCTCTCTCTCTCCAGCCCTTCAGAAACAGCCTCAGTCTGACCCCTTAGTCACAACCTAAGATGGACAAGATCGGGTCTTGTGGGACGGTGACTGTCTTGGGAACTCCTCAAGTTCAACCTTCCTTGAAGCTCTTCACTCCAGACCCTAATCCACCTCACTCTGAAAGTGAGCTGCCATGACCAGGTCCCTCCTGTGACCTCCTGTCCCCCCGGTTTGTTCCACGCCGATAAACATCTTATCTGATATCTGGAGACAGCCTTATCGAATACCTCGGGCCCTGACAACCAGCCCATGGGATCCCCAGGGCCGTCCCAGCAGCTCTGGCCCGTGGAGAAACTGAGGCTCAACGAGGCAAGATTGCTTGAGTGGCCGAGCTAGGCACACAACCTCCTGGTAGCCCTGACTGAGGCTGACCCTTCTCCACAGCCCCTCACCCCCGCCATGTGAAGCTGACTGCCCCCAGGAACCCTCTGCAGATGAGGCCAGAGGGCTTTTCTCTGCCCTGCTCGACCGGGTCTCCCCGAGATCCTGGGTCCCACAAACTGGGGAGGGAGGTATCTTCAGGCAAGGTTCAGGCAGACTTCGTCATCTACCCTGATCCCGGCTAGTGGAGGGTCTTCGAAAAAGACCAGTGGACCATGACTATGAACCCCATCCTCCCTCAATAGAAAAAACAACCCAAGCCTGCTGTCCTCGGTCCAGACTCACAGGGACCCTGGAGGGCAGGGCAGAGCCGCCCCACGGGGTCTCCAAGCTACTACCCTCATGGAAACCCACTGCCAGCCACATCGCCCCCCACGGAGCTGCTGACCTTCCAGCATGTCACCATTCCTTGGTCACAGGACACTTGGCTCCCCCATTCCAAGCCCTGTGACCAGAAGCAAGTGGCTGCCACTCCCTAGACCAGTGGTTCTCAGCTTTCCTAATGCCGCTACCCTGTCATACAGTTCCTCATGGGGTGGTGACCCCCAACCATAACATTATTTTCGTTGCTACTTCATCACTGTCATTTTGCTACTGTGATGAATGATCCCTGTGAAAGGGTCATTCAACCCCCAAAGGGGTCTCGACCCACAGGTTGAGAACCGGTGCCCTAGACCTTTGTTTCTCCATCTAGGAATGGAACACCTGTCGGGACCCATCTCACGGGGAAGTGGGGGCGGCGGGGGTGGGGTGGGGTAGCTGAGGGACACCTTGTGTGAGTCACTTAGCTCAGTGCCTGGCCTAGCTCCTGCTGCTGCTTGCTGTCGACTCTGTGCCGACGCTCGGGGACCCCGTGTGCAGAGTGGAGCTGCTCCGCTGTGGCCTTTCAGAAGCAGACTGCCAGGCCTTTCTTCTGAGATGCCTCCGGATGGGTTTGAACTGCCAGCCTGTAGTGGTCATACCCTTAACCGTGAGTGCCACCAGCACTCCTGCTTGGCATATCGACTCATTGCCTTTGAGTTGATTCTGACGCTACAGGACAGAGTGGAACTGCCTCTTGGGGTTTCTACAGCTTTCTGCTGTGGAGTGGCCAGTGGGTTTGAACCTCCCACCTTAGGGGTCAGGGCTGAGCACTAAATGCCAGCATCCCTGTTTGGCAAATGCACTGCTGTTGAGTCAATTCTGACCCACAGTGACTCCGTCAACCTAAATCAAATGCACTGCCGCCGAGTGATTCCTTTCCGACTCCTGGCGCCCCTAGAGGAGACGGTCGAGCTGCCCGTGTGGGTTCCTGAACCGGGCTCTCTCCAGGAGTAGAAAGCCGCCTTTTTCTTGTGAGGAGCGGCTGGTGCTTTCAAACCGCTGACCTTGCTGTTAGCAGCCCAACGGGTAACCACTCCGCCAGCAGGGCTCCCTCTGTAGGACAGCTAGGGCTCAGGAAATGTCCCTTATCACCACAACCGCTATTGTTTCCGCCCAGGTGGTGCTGTTGGTCGGGTGAGCCTTGGGCTGCTCACTTCAAGGTCGGCAGTTCAAACCCACTAGCTGCTCCAGAGGAGAAAGATGAGGCTGGCTGCTCCCACAAAGACTGACGGCCTTGGAAACCCTGTGTAGGGTCGCTAAGGGTCGAAACCAACTTGACAGCAATGGGGTTGGGCATCTCCCCCCCTCGACCATCCCCAGGCTTCCACCAGTGCACTGCCCTGCCTTCCCCCCAACCCCCCACCCCCAAGCTTGATCACCCTGGGCCTTTCACTCCTCCTGGGTGCTGGAGACCTGGAGCATGGCACCAGGCTGCACCCTCAAGGATAAGGACGATGCTCCTGGATACCCCACTTCCTGGGTCGTCTACACCTAGACCTCTTCAGAGGTGGCGCCTCAAGCGGGAGGAGGTCCTGCTTCCCCTTGTGAGAGGGACAACTCTACAAACCCACAAAGCCAAGGCCGGGCCAGGGGACTCACAGTTGGGGCCCAGGTGGTTGTGGGTCACGTTGTTGTGAGAGCTGCTGTAGGAATGAGCCTGGTGTACCGATTCGTCCACCACGGCCGCCATCCAGATGGCCAGGTTGGTGGTCAGTGTAAACATGAGACCACACCTGATGAAGAGACAGAGGGTCGTTGGCTCTCGGCTGGACCATGAAGAGGTGGGAGCTGGGAGCTATCCTGGGAGGTGGCCTTGGGATTCCAGAGGGCACAGACCCCTGTTGTGACAGGGCAGCTGGGTTTGGAATGAGCCAGGGGATATCCAGGGACCCAGGTCACTGCAGCTACCTCCCCCCTGGGGAGGAAGGCACACATGGCACACTGCACAACACCCCGAAAATGTGCGTGTACACGCACACAAGGCATATGCGGGTGGAGCTTAGCTAGCAAAACAGGTGGACCTCGGCTGGGACCCCCCCCATTCGGCAGCTCCCCAAAGTGTAGCCTGGCCTTGCAGGGGGTCCAAGCACTGAGCTGCGGGTGGACACTCACCGGGTCAGATCCAGGTGGATGTGGATGCAGTCTTTAGCAGAGACCCACAGAAAGTATGTCTGCATTGGGAGAGAATGAAGCTGTTGACTCTGTACAAAGACTAAACTCCAGACAGCCCACAGCCACGGGCAGCCTTGAGTGCTCTCTCCCCCAAAGCCTTTGTGCTAACTGACCGCGTTCAGTTTGCTTTAGGACACAGGGCAGGGAGTAGCCTCGCTACTACAGAACAGTGTTATAACATGCGGACTCTCTGTTCTTTAAAGGTTTGCCAAATGCCCCCCGCAAAACTCACTGGTGCTTGGTTTTATTTTTATTTGGGGGAGGCAGCAGGGAGGGGGCGAGTTGAGTTTTGACTACGGAATTATCTCTTCCCAGGAGCAAGGTCAGCCTGATGCAGGGTCCTGTGTACTGCCCGCCTCCTCCTCTGTCCCCTGCAAGGTCCAGCTTCCCCGGGCTGCCATTGCATCTCTTTGGTGTTCGCTGATGTCGGTTGACATCTGTTTTCATTTTAAGTGCAATTTCAACTCAAAATTTGACTCAGAACTGGGAGCCTCATTCAACCCCCTAAAACACAATGCAGGGAAATGATGCACATGCCACTATCTAAGTGTGTTGACTGGTGGCAGGGCACCTGGGGGTGAGGGGTTGTCTCAGGGGAGGGACCTCACATGGGTTATCCTGGCCTGTGATCTCCTCCAGCCACAAGTAAGGCCAATAGTGCCCCAGTTGCATCAGAAGATCTTTCAAGGTGGTGTTTAGACAGCAAATTATAGATATATACTTTATATATATATACACTTGAACTTGTATAGAAAATCACATCAGCAGAATGCTCTCCTGCCTGAGATGGGTGTCCTCTATGGCAACCAGAGAGGGCAGCCTAGGTTCTAAGAGACAGAGGTGGCTGTCACACCGCACACCTGCTAAGGGAGGTGTTAACTATCAGCCCTGCTTAGGTTCCAATAAAATCCCAGGCCCCCGAAGTAGGGGCTCACAGTTGGGATATTACTTCATGACCAAGTGCTTCTGGGAGATGGACTCATGTGATCCCAGTCCCAGCTCCATGCCCACTGGAGCTGCTTAGAGTGGACGTGGGGTGTGGCACCTGGGTCCCCAGGCCTTGCACCAAGTCCTGGTTCCCTTCTACCCACCCACCTGCACAATGACAAACACGGCCTGGATGACAGGGTGCAGGATCTTGATGGCCGACTGGCACTCGATGAAACTGGAGTAGTAGCCGGTCTTGAAGACATCCATGACAAGCGTGCAGACACCAAACAGCACCAGCCCTCCTGGGAGTCAGTGGGAGAGCAGAGAGGCAGGGTGGAAGGCTTACTGTGTGCCAGCCCTTTCTGGGCACCCCGAGGATGGCTAGATGGGTGGACGGAGGAGTGAGTGGTTGGCTGGCTGGGCGAATGAATGTAGTGGTGAATGGATATGTGGATGGGTGCAAATAGATGGGTTGATTTGTGGATGGGTGGGTGGGTGGACTGGTGGATGGGTGGGTGAATATTCTGCTGAGAACGCCCATCTCTGCCTTGGGATTGCATGGATCAGGAGGATGGCCCTTGCTATCATCGTTCCTTCTCTGTTCTCCACCCAGAGCTCTCTGGTGCCCACTCTTGTCTAATCTTTAGCCAAGCACAAAGTGCCTCTCCTCCTCCCTCGTCACCCCTGCCCTAGGAGCTCTCTCGTCCTCTTCTGAACTCACCTAGCCTATGCCTCATCCAACCCTCCCGAGGGAACTTCTGACCCCTCCACATCCATGTGCACCCTGTCTCCAGCAACACCCCCCCCCTTCGACCTGCACCTCGGAGCCAGATGGGGCCGGCATGCACGTCGCGGTAGGGGACAGCGTCGCCGCGCCGCGCGGAGTACAGCAGGTAGAACAGGAGCCAGAGCAAGGAGAGGAGCATCATGGTGGTGAGCAGCGCGAAGACGTCCTTGTCATAGACGGCCACCTTGTTGAAGGCGCCGCCCGTGATGAGCGTGCACGCCAGCAGCATCACGTTGAAGGCGATGAGCACCGAGAGCAGGCGGCCCCCCTTCTTCCACACCTCGATGGAGCTGTGGCGTGGCGTGGGCTGGGCCACCTTGGGGCCTGAGGCTGGTTCGAGGTCCGACATGGTTGGTGTGACTGGAGACGGTGGGGGTGGGGGTGGGGTGTCACTGTGAGGGGAGAAGCAGGCACCCCAGGTCACCCCTAGGGTCCTCTGGAACCCTGCTGCCCGTGGCC